CGCTTATTCTCTAAAGCGGCACAATACATGCAAAACAATTGAGAACGAATATACGCTTATTCTCAAAGCGGCACAATACATGCAAAACAAATGAGAACGAATATGCGTTTATTTCTTAAAGCGGCACAATACATGCAAAACAAAAGAGAACGAATACACGTTTATTCTCAAAAAAAAAACATTCCACTGCGAAATTGTTAACACAATCCTCATAACGCTGCTCGTCCAACAACGGCAATATACTCTTAAATACCACACCAATATGGCGTTTTAAATATGGCTTAAGCTCTTTGAATAAATAAGCTAAGCAAACAAAAGTCCACTCGAGTTGCTCAGCGTCTTGGGTGTGTAACAAGTAAATAAGGCGATCTAGCACACGTTGAAAATAAGGATAGAATTCCTTTCGTAAATCTCTAGCCAAAATATATAATAATTCCAGCAACGGTTGCATAGATAAGGAAGTTGCGGTGGCTAAATGTTCTAATAAAGTATCCAACACGAACTTTTTTTTATCTACTAATTGATGCAAAGTAACAATCTTGCAAACTTTGCAGGCGAAGTGAGAAAATTCTTCGGTGAGATTTAAGGCCATCCATTTTTTTAAAGTTTGATGGAAATATGTTTCATTATCTTCCGTTAATTCTTCGTTACTGTACCCTATATGATACAAAGCCAACCGTCTTAAGTCGATTTCATTAACACGATCCGCAAAGCTCTTGAACTATAAAGAGAGACAATCGCACATTTTTCAATGTTCGTATCTGTACTTATGTTTGCAATGTACTTACCCGAAAAGTATTGGAATCCTTTGATTTATGTTTGATATCCGCCATTTTTAGGAGCTAATTATAAATTTGATTTTAAAAAATTATTGCTTTATCTACTTTAAGGCAGTTAGGGTTAATAATAAGAATTTTGTCTATGGGTTATATAAAATTAGCATTTTTTCATTTATTAACTCATGCTTTATTTAAAGCTTTATTTTTTATATATGCAGGGGCAATTATTCATAATATAAATAATAATCAAGATATTCGTTTAATAGGAAGATTAAGAATTTCTATACCTTTAACTTCTTCTTGTTTTAATATTGCTAATTTAGCTTTACGTGGAATGCCTTTTTTAGCAGGATTTTATTCTAAAGATATTACTAGATATAACTAGAGAATTAAATTTTTTTTCAATAAACTAATTAAATGATGAAGGGTGAATTAGGGGTTCTTGTTGCGTTATCTGCGTTGTTGGTGTTTCAATACGTGTGTGTGATAGGTGTGTGTTTTAAATGCAATCTTATTGAAATTTGATTTCTTATTAAATAATGGTCTTACTACACATTGATATTTAAATGCTTTTGCACTTTAATTTGTGCTAATGACGCTTGCATACATTTTTATTCATTATAATATCTTTATATCTCATCCTGATTTTGATAAAAGGTGTTGGCCTCATATTTATAACAATGCGTTTAAATCCGTTACTAATATTTGGCATAACGATATCTCGAATTTTTATGTACCCGAACGATTAAAATTGGCGTATCTTACTTCGAGTTACAACAAGGACATGTTGGAAAACATTGAATATATGTTCCCGACTCTTAAAGAAGAATTAAACATAAGTAACTACGTGAGTCGCTTTCAAACACTCTTATATTTCGAAGAGATTGAGTGTTTTGTCAATTTTCGAATGTATGACCGTGAACGAGCGCATTTCACACGTGAGAAAGAATATTTAGCTCTGACCATAGAAAATGAAAACCTTTCCGAATGTCGTCCTTCGTTGCTAATTGGAGACATTATCGAAGCGAAAGACCCCTCCGTCGAAACTGAAAATGCCGAACACACATATGAAGGAGTGATTCACAAGGTGCTTTTCAATCGCATTCTGTTTAAATTCGATGCCAACTTTCAGCAAAAATATAATGGCGAAGAATATCGTTTAAAATTTTACTTCTCCCGGTATGGCTACCGGAAACAGCACCACGTCGTCTTACGAGCGGTTAAGAAATTAGGCGAACAGTTCTTGTTTCCATCCGGAGCACAGACGCGTGGATGCCGACAATTGGATATACGGGTAGATGATGAGGAAAACCTCTTGTTAGGCAGTTACCAGTGTAAATGGCACAATTGCACACTGAACTCTATACAGAAAAAAGCCATAGCAAATATACTACGAGGAGAAGTTTACAATATGCCATACGTGATTTTCGGACCCCCGGCACAGGAAAAACTGTAACGCTAGTGGAGACCATTTTGCAAATTTTTAAACTGATACCCAGTGCACATCTACTTGTAGGCACACCTTCTAATAGTTCTGCTGATTTAATAACAACGCGTTTGATTGAATCCGATGTACTCAAAATGGGTGAGTTTATACGTCTAATGTCCCATAATCAATCCGAAAAAGAGCTTATACCAGAGTATTTGATGCCATATTGCGCCACAGGCGACAAATATTGGGATACTGGCATAGATGGCACCTATAAACATGATATGATTGTGACTAAGTCCGGACTCAAAGTAAGATGTCAAAGGAAGTTTTTACGGCACCATCGAGTAATAATTGGTACTTGCGATACACTTGGAAATTTTTTGCAAATGGGCTTTCCACCGCACCATTTCACACATGTAATAATCGATGACGCCGACCAGTGTACAGAACCTGAAATTATGGTTGCTGTTGCTCAAGCATCAAAAGAGCAATGCCAGGTAATCCTTGCTGGAGATCCCCATCAATTCCAACCAATCGTTATAAACAAATATGCTCGTGGACGCGGTTTATCCACATCATTT